ATACACTAAGTAATCCATAAATTGTGTGCTTTATTATGTTAAAGCAGTAAAATTAGTTTAGGTTTGACAGGACAGTAAGTGTTACATATATCTCAATTTTTCCCAATCCCCCCCCCCCAAAAAAAACCTAGACAAGAACCTTTTCCCCCCACGGCCCCAAGATTTCCGGAAATGTTACACTGCAAGGCATTCTGGTCAGCTGACCTTGCCCCAAAAGCAGAGCTCCCACTCTCCCTTAAAGCTGTGGGGGGGCTGGGGACGTGGCAGCCCAAGGGAATCAAGGACTTGCTGAGGTGATGGGAAGGCAGCATTCTTTGTTTCGTTCGTGGAGCCATTTGCTGCCCTTCAGACTCAGCCAATCCTAAAAGGAAATCAACCCTGACTGTTCCCTGGAAGGCCAGAGACTGAAGCTGAAGCTCAAAGACTTTGGCCACCCAATGAGAAGGGAGCCCTCGCTGGAGGAGAAGACCCTGATGCTGCTGGGAAGGACTGAAGGTGAAAGAAGAAGGGGACGGCAAAGGATGAGACAGTTAGACTGTGTCATGGATGCAACGGACATGAAACTGAGCAAACTCCGGAGGACGGCGGAGGACAGGAGGGCCTGGTGTGATCTGGTCCATGGGGTTGCGAAGAGTCGGACTCGACTGTTCGACTGAACAACAATAACAACAACAGGCTCAGCCAAGAACGATCGCCGTCTCTTGGTAAGAGCTTTGTACTTGTAGGCAGACGTGGCCTAACAAAACTGGCAATGGCACAGCACCAGAATCAGTCCTCTGCGGCCCACCAACCTTCTGGAGTTCTTTGAGAAAGCGAACAAGCACCTGGACAAGGACAATCCAGCAGACGTCACATTCTTGGACTTCCAAAAGCCTTTTAACAAAGTAACTCAACCAAGAACTATGATTAAGTTTATCCGTCAAGGAATCAGACAGCAACTCCTCTTCTGAGTTTTTTTTTTTAAAAAAAAGGTTAAACAGGAAGGAGAGTAGGAATAAACAGTCTATACAAGAGAGGGAAGAGAAGCGGGGGGGGGGGGTCCCACAAGGATCGGTACTGTGACCAGTACCATTTAATCTGTTCAGAAATTATTTGGAACTGGGGATGAGCATTGTAATAGCCAAATTTGATTTGGAGTTTCATTAATGATTTGGAGTTGGAAGTAAGCAGTGAAGTGGCTAAATTTGCGGATGATACGAAGTTGTTCAGGGTGGTGAAAACCAGTGAGGATTGTGAGGCACTCCAAAGGGATCTGTCAAGGATGGGCAAGTGGGCGTCAACATGGCAAATGGGGTTCAATGTGGCCAAGTGCAAGGTGATGCACACTGGAGCCAAAAATCCTAAATATAAATACACGTTGATGGGGTCTGAACTGGCAGAGACTGATCAAGAGAGAGATCTGGGAGTTGTAGTAGATAACTCACTGAAAATGTCGAGACAGTGTGTGACTGCAATAAAGAAGGCCAATGCTATGCTGGGGATTATTAGGAAGGGTATTGTAAACAGATCAGCCAATATCATAATGCCCCTATATAAATCAATGGTGCGACCTCATCTGGAATACTGTGTGCAATTCTGGTCACCACACCTTAAAAAGGATATTATAGCTTTGGAAAAAGTGCAGAAAAGAGCAACTCGAATGATAAAAGGGTTGGAACACTTTCCCTATGAGGAAAGGTTAAGGCGCTTAGGGCTCTTTAGCTTGGAGAAACGACGACTGAGGGGTGACATGATTGAGGTTTATAAGATTATGCATGGGAAAGAGCAGGTAGAGAAAGAGGTATTTTTCTCCCTTTCTCACAATACAAGAACCCGTGGGCACTCCATGAAATTGCTGAGCGGTCGGGTTAGAACGGATAAAAGGTAGTCCTTCTTCACCCAAAGAGTGATTAACACTTGGAATTCACTGCCACAGGAAGTGGTGGCGGCTACAAGCATGGACGGCTTCAAGAGGGAATTAGATAAGCATATGGAGCAGAGGTCCATCAGTGGCTATTAGCCACAAGGTATAGATAGGGACTCTGGGGCAAGTGATGCTCTGTCATCTTGGTGCTTGGGGGGGGTCAACAGTGGGAGGGCTTCTAATGTCCTGGCCCCACTGGTGGACCTCCTGATGGCACTGGTATTTCTGGCCACTGTGGGATACAGAGTGTTGGACTGGATGGGCCTTTGGCCTGATCCAACATTGGCATCTCTTATGTTCTTAAATTTGCAGGTGATACCAAATTATTTAAGATTGTGAAGCAGTACAAGAGGATTTCTCTAAAGCGGGCGAGGGGACAACAACATGGCAAGTGAAGGACAGTCCTGGTAAGTGGAAGGTGATCCACACGAGAACAAACATGCTAACTGTAAATATACTGTGGATCGGTTCTGAACCGCGACCTGACTGAGAAGAACACTGAAAGTGATCTTGGGGCTACAACTCACAGCCCAACGAAAAGGCCGACCCACCACGTGGCAGCTAATGAAAAAGGCAAACTCCATGGTGGGGGTGATCAAGAAGGACACTGAGAACAGGGGCAGTACTGGAATGCCCTGGTGGTGGTCAGCTCCATTGCGCCCATGCCGGGAACACGACATACTGTGCACGGTGGTGTTGGATGCAAAGCTGGGAAAAGTACAGAAGAGGTCAGCCAAAATTATTAAGGGGTTGGAGCACCCTTCCTCTGGGAAAGGCTGAAGAGTGTGGGACCTTGTTTACTGATGAGCTAAGGGAGCTAAAAAAGGTTGGAAGACCTTCAGAGCACTGACAGAAGCAGACTCAAACCGAATCAGAAACAGAGCCTCATTTGAAAGAAAGCCTCTGAGGCAGCAGTGAAGAAGCCTCTCTTTCCTGCAGCCGCAGCGTCAGCAGACTCACACCTGGCTCAGTCATCCAAAATTGCCAGTAGCCTGGCAATGCTGAGGCATCCGCTGGCTGAGCTGGAATCTGATGTGGGCAGTGATGTTTCTGTGAGATCCTTTGCAGATGAAACCTCCCTCGTCCGGTCCAGCTTGGACTCCAGCAGTACTATAGCTTGGGCAGCAGACGTGGCAGAAGCATCCTTTAGTCTCCCTGAAGGATGCTGGCAAGACCAGACCACGGGAGTTATAAAGGTGGTCCCAGTGGGCGGGGGGCGTGCATGCGTGTGTGAGGGCTCACCCCACACAGGGCATTCCACCGCCTCACCATATTCACCTCTCCCCTCATGTGCCAGTAGCTCGTTGCACTTGGTGGAGCTTAATCATTCCCACAATTGCTGTATTATGGTTTTGAGGTTGCTTCTGGCAATTCGGTATTATTTGTAGGTGAGGCTCTTTGAACAGTCTGAGCTCTTGAAAGAGCTGTATTCAGTGGCATGCAACTTAATAATCTAGAGCACCCACCTGGCCCCTTCTTGGCAGCTGGGCAAACGGGTCTCTCCTTGCAAGAAACTCATCTCCACTCAGCTGGCAATTTCAGCAGTTCATTAGTCACTTCCCTGAGAAAGAGATTTGGGTCCCCGGGGCGTAATTCAAGACATTTTACACTCCCCTACTGCAACAAACGTTGCTTCCTGCAAGTCAGAGCCACATTCATCCTTGTTAATTAAATTGCAAAAAGCGAAACAGAAGTTTCTGGTGCTTCAGTTCCCTAGCAAAGGAGTACTTCCCACAATATTTGAAGGAAACAGTTCAACAGTTCTTCGACCATTAGCAAAAAAGCCCTCCTTGCCAGTGAATGATCCAGCCAGTTATGGGCAATGTTCCCCCTAAGCTGTGGAGTCTTGTGAGCAAAAATTCTACTTTGTGAGCTACTGGCATTAAAGTTCTGAGCAAGTGATTTGGCTATTGCATAAATTAGTTTGCTCTGGAGCCATCCTTCCTGAGCTAAGACAAAAATCTTTGAGCCGGAGGCTAATAAACTGTGAGCTGGCTCAAACTAACTCAGCTTAGAGGGAACACTGGTTATGGGTGGCCTTTTTGCCAATCCTTGCAGGGCAAGATGGCCGACCAGGTAGTGGCAAAGTCCTCTTGGATGACTCCCGTGCCCTTCCCAGCCCGCCTTTGGGACAAAGATGTGGCATCAGGGGATCTGGGAGACACTCTGCATATGCAGCCGGAGAGAGGCGATGCTTTGCTGCTAATCTTGTCAGATCTGTCGGTGGCATAGAATACAGCAGACCACGAGATCCTTCTGCATCACGTGGCACGCCAGATGGACATTGGAGACATAACCCTGAAAGGACACTAATTTTTTCCCCTTCATGGCAAAATGCAAAGAGCGATGGGGGGAGATGTGTCAGTGGTCCCCTGGGAGTTAATACGTGGGGTGCCCCAGGGATCTCCTGGGAAGGGTGAGTGTACCACCACTGAGTGGTGTACCTGGAGGCTAAAAGTCTGGGAGGCATTCCTGAACCCAGTTCTGCAGGCAGAGAAGTCAGCCAGTCACATTTGCTAGGAATGCCTCCCCTTTGCTTACATCCTGCTTGAGAACTAGGAGTTCTGCACTGGCCGGGCTGCCTCTCCAGTGGGACCTGCCCTTGAAGGGGAAAAACCCCAACCCTCGGCAGAACTGGGGCCGGCCACCGCCCCCAGCATGAAGGAGGCAATGCCAGCTCACGCCCCCGGTCCTTTCAGTGGCCGCCCCAGGCCTTTGGAAAGGGCTGCCCAGAGGTGAGCGGAAAGCGTCATCACAGACAATCTTCCGGAAAAACTGGAATGCTGAGTTGTTTTACACTTGGAAACTGACCTGCTGTGGTGCTGACCAATGCTCCCTCTAAACTGTGGAGTCTTGTGAACAAAAATCCTACTTTGTGAGCTACCGGCATGAAAGCTGTGAGCGAGCCATTTGGCTACGGCATAAATTCATTTGCTCCGGAGCCCTCCTTGCTGAGCCAAGGCAGAAATGTCATGTGTGAGCCGGAGGCTAAAAACCTGTGAGCTAGCTCACACCAACTCCGCTTAGAGGGAACGCTGGACCGCGGAGTGCCGTTGCTGGCTTCGGGCTTCTGGGAGAGGCCATGATGCCACCGTACCTGTGGTAGGGCGTGCTGGGCTCGTCAATCTTCATCAAGCCGTAGTCCTTGCCGGCAGGATGGTAGGTGGCCAGGATGTTCATCTCGTCCCACTTCTGGCTCTTCTTGCTGCCGTGGGGGAGAATTGGGGTGGGGTGGGGAGTGCCCGTCAGTCCACCCTCCACGCTGGCCAGCAGCGACCCCCGGCCCTCCCCCTCCCCTCCCGCTCAGGGACTCACCCGGGAGAGCAGCAGAAGCCACCCCGGGAGGGGGGGGGCTTCAGAAGAGCCTGGCCACCCCGGGCGGCGCTCCCCCCCCCCCCCTCTCCCGAGGGGCGGCCCCAGTGTGCCGGCCGCGTCCGGATCTCCGGAGGGTTGGGGGGCCTGAAGCACTGCGTGGCCCTTCTCCTCTGCGGAGGAGGCGTGAGGGAAAGGGAGCCCCTGCCGGAGGAGGAGGAGGACTTTGGCCTCCCCCCTCCCGGAGAAGGCCTGGGGGGGCGGCCTCTCTCCTTCCAGCCGGGGGGG